TCCCCGCAAAAAATAAAAGAGTAATGCTCGTTAACTTTGTATCCGCATGCAAGGGAGCACAAGTCCCTAAACGTCACAGCGAAGCACAACACGGGTCATCCGTGATTTTCCCGTTGCAAGTCTCAAACGTCGCGGTAAAACTTAGGCTGGTCATAGTGGGGAGTAACTTAGACTAGTAACATACATATGTTAGTAGTCTATGTTACTACCTTCATAGTGGGTAGTGTCATAGGTGTGGTAACATAGTTGCCTTCATTTATTACTTTGTAGACTCATTATGCATTGGAAACCGCTATGTGATGGTAACATATTATGTTACTCTATTTGCCTCTCTCCTCATTAACTACTTGCCACATCATCATTTTTGCTTATGTGGCATCTATGTTACTACTCCCTCCGTCCGGGTTTATTAGGCCCGAGAGCAAAGAACGCAGAGACTGTTTTTATAAGGCCGCTGCAATTACGAGTTTACTTTGCCTCGATTACTCACCGCATGCTGTACACTCATTGGCTGGAGGTAGGCGTGATTAACTGCAATTAAATCGAAGCATGCAACCAGCTGCATGCCTTTGCAGCGGGCAAGTGCTAGACGTGCCCTTGATTGGTTGCATGCAGAGACGAAGCGTTAAACCAGCTGGACAGAATAAATGCGAGCTAATGGGGGTTGGCTACTTGCATGCTCCGAAATCAGAGGCTGTTAGAGTTAATAGATTGCCTTGGTCCTTGAGTTCTTGTCGAAGGGCCCAATAAACCCGGACGGAGGGAGTACCTATGTTACTCCCACTATGACCAGCCTTAAAACTCGTGCGTTGATGGTTCCCAATACATGCAGCTATGCAATGTATTGTTGGCAGAATTTATTAGTAATTGATCATGAGATTACGAGGGGCACTACGATCCAGAACATGGTCATCTTTTCCTTCCTTGATCTTTGACGTCTTCTCTGGAATGGACGAGAGTATAAAAAAAACTAAGCAATGTGACGTTTAATACGCACTTTCCACACCTCCATCTCTGCCTATCGAGTCAACTCCCCACCACTCCCCAAACCCGGCCACTAGAGCGAGAAACATGGAGTCGTTCTCATCTGCAATGATCGACGCGATCTTCTGGGCCGTGATCCTGGCGGTCGTGGTGGCCGTCTACGCCCGCTTCTTCTCGCCGGCCGAGATGACGAAGGCGCCGGGCGACGCAGGGATCTTAGTTTCGCGGGAGGCATGCGCGTGCGCCGCCCACCCGGAGCTAGCTTCCCTGCTCGTTGGCTTTCGCCACTCGTTGACCCTCGCCATGGGTCATTTTCTCGCTTCGGAAGCACTGCCGCCGGTTTCGTATATGGCCGTCTTCTTCGTGGTTGCTTCATCCCTCTCGTGTCTTCTCTTTTGAGCTCCGCGGGCGCCGTCGCTGCTTTCGTATTTGGTAGTCTTCTCCCACGTCTCCTGACCTGCGTTGCGTTCTTCGTATCCAGCTCAGGAAGCTACGTCGCTGGTTTTCTAAGCCTTCTTTGTGGTTCCTTGATCCCCGTCATGTCATCTCTTTTGAGCTTCGGATCCGGCGTCGCCAGTTTCACGTACGCTAGGCTTGTCCGTGGTTTCTTGATCCCTGTCGTGTGTTCGTTCTTGAGCTTCGCAGGCGGTGTCGCTGGCTTAATGTATAGCGGCCTTCTATGTGGTTTCTTGGTTCCCGTCCTGCGTTCTCTTCTGAGCTTCGGGGGCGCTACCGTCGGGCTCGCGTATGCTAGTCTTATTCGTGGCTTCTTGATTCCCGTCGTGTGTTCTCTCGGAGGCCTCGTCGTCAGCGTCGCCGGCTTCGTATATGGTGACATTCTTCTTGGCATCTTGATCCCTGCCGTGTGCTCTCTCTGGAGCTTCGGAGGTGACCTTGTGGCGTGCTTCCTGACCCACTTACAGTGTTTCCTATTTGGATGACTGATGACTAGTAACTATTCCAGCTCGAGCGCGTGTACATGCGCTTCTCCTGCACGCATGCTACACGCATATATGGTGTACGTGTGGAAATGTTCTGTGCGCTCTCGTATCTCACGTGGTGTCTGTCATGTCTCAAGTCTCAAGTATGTCATGGTGTACGTGTGGAAATGTTCTGTGCGCTCGTATCAACATGGAGACTCGTCCTAAATTGCGAATGTGTCACTGCTCTTTCTTTATGTGTTTGCAATGCAGCTCTCGTGTGTAGGCTCGGCAGCACATCAAGTCCTACCGTTTTTTCTTTCAGTTTTGGTAAATGTTAGTTTCCTGATTATTATTATTTTGAGGGGGGTTGGTTTTTACTCCCTCCGTTCCAAATTACTTGTCTTAGATTTGTCTAGATACGGAGGTATCTAGCATTAAAATGAGTCTAGATACATCCGTATCTAGACAAATTCAAGACAAGTAATTCGGAACGGAGGGAGTAAATTTGGGTTGGTCAATTCACGCGAGAAAGAAGGAAGAGACACAGCGAAGCACCGAGGCTGTCGGTGGCGTGAGCGTAGTGAGGGCCGGGACGTCAGCAAGGCCTTAGACAAGAACAAGCTGAGCTGGCGGAGGGGAGTCGGAGGTAGACGGTGGTGAGAGAGCAGGGCCAAGCTCATCGCTAAAGTCTGGTGGTGTGATAGTTTAGAAAGATGGTCGGGAAGGGGCATGCTTAGTGGTGGGTGGCGGTGAGGGGAGGTGGGGCAGCGAGGCTGGCGCGGGAGCAACAACTCCAAGTCGGTGTGGCGGAGGCAGGTGGTTCAATTTCTGGTCTAGATCCCGCGGCGGTCAGAGGGGCTAAATTATAAGGGATTGGCTAGAGATGCCCTTACATCCATTGACAGCGACACTGCTGACCGACTCAGGAGCAAGGTGTACGGCATGTTCTCCTAACCGTCTACAAAGATCTTGTCCAGGAATGGGATGAAGTCATGAGGGTTGAGGTGGCGGAGCGTGTGTCGTGTCGGTGCAGGTTACGTGTCACATGTCATGGTTATGAAGGCCAGAACAGAGTAACAACTCGAACTAAACTTTCTTTGTCAACACACCAACCATCCTTGAAGGCCTGTAGGAGTCGGCGAGTGGGTGGCGGGAATTAATCAATCCCAAAAAAGCCATCATCTTGCACTCATCTGTGACAATCGTATATTGTGCCCATGAAAATCAACCCAAAAAAGTGTCAAACACGAAATGAATGCAACACACAACCTCCAAGTCATGTCTCCAAATATGATGCTCCCAACAAAGAAATGGCGTCAAGGAGCGCCACCATCATCAATATGAAACCGAACCTAGGCTTTTGCCCTTAGACAACAACCCAAATGAGACGGAGTGGGATGCTGGCACACCTCAGTTATGCATCCAAGGAGGGGAAACGACACCCACAGGTGTCGTCACTGCTGGCACTGATCAAAGACGGGCAGGACATTCATTTGTATCATCGCACACCTCATCCTAGCCCACTGGACTTAGGCAACGCCGTTCACATTGGTCCAATCCGCCGCCGCCGCTCGGCCAACACCATCACACAAAGGACCAGTTAAATCCGCTGTCGCTGCTCCTCATCGTCTAAGCCATAACGGCCATCACCACCACGGCAAGCACACATCACATCATGATGCCTGCCTGAAGCCCGACGACTCCAAGCCTGCTTGAAGCCATGCCCTGGGCCCGTAATCTCACACAGATCCTAGTTGGTGGGTCAAGAGCCCCAAGTCGCAGCCGCCACCGAGGCAGC